GATCTTGACCCCATTGCAGAAGAGCATCCCCTTCGGTCCTTGTGCCTCTCACTGCCTCTCCCTGCCCCACTTACTGGGGCCCTGGAGACGGAACCCCACCTGTTCTCGTGGGGAGCACGGGGTTGGGAGTGGTCTCCCTCAGCCAGAGGTTCCAAGAGGGGTCCTGCGTGGATGGCCTCTAGCTGGGCCTCAAGTAGTCCAGGACAGGGAGGGACACGGGCTCTCAGGTAGCCAGTGGACACAGGGACTCTGTCTAGCTCCCCGGGTCACCTCCTCCTGCCAGCTGCACTTTAGCCCTAGAGGGAGCGTCCCCAGGGGCAGGGCAGGCAAGTCGCGGTGGAACAAGTCCCTCAATCCCCAGAGCCACCTGTCCTGTCAGCCCAACAGACCCGCCTCCGGGTGTCCCAGCCCATGGCTGTTCCGACGAGAGCTTCTGGAGCTTGTAAGCAGTAGATGGTCTCCCTGACAGAATAAATGCCTTCAATGCCTGCGTTCTCTTCATCGGTGGCCACCTCTGCTCGCAGTGAGGCCTAGGGGAGGGGAGAGCTGACTGGGGCTGTCGGGTGCTGAGCAGGCCGTCCCGGCACCCACCTGCAGGTGCACAGTGCTCCAGGCTCCACTGTCAGCCCAGCTCCCACCGTTCTTTTGGTGCGCATTTCCACCCTTGCATGCACCTCCCACGGGCCTCCGAGACTGGACTCCCTTGGGTTTGCCTCATGCCATCCTCCCAGTGACCCACACCCAGCCTGGGGTAGCCCTCCTGGGGAAGGGGAAAGGAACAAAAACTAACCCCCCCCCCCAAAAAAAAAAGTAATAGGTGCATCTGGGACTGCGCCAAATACCGCCACCACCTGGTGAGGGGGAGATGGCCTCGTTTCATGATGAGGCATCTGAAGTGCTCCCAGAGTAAGTCCTTTTCCTAGGGTTATGAGGTCAAGAGATGTCATCAGCAGGGTTGGTTGGAACCCAAGCGGTCAGGCCCAGAGCTCACACCAAGCCGGGGACACTGGCACTCAGGAAATCATTCACCAAGTCCAGTGGGAAGCCGAGGCTCTGGAAACTCACAGCTCCTCTAGCCTCACACCTGGGCGCTTAATACTGGCAATAAATATGGTGCCATGGGTCCTCGGTGCTGGGCCTTTGAGCTGGAGTGGATTCAGACCCCAGCGCTGTCTGGGTGGCGGGATGCACGCTAACGCGCTGCCTCCACCCTGTGTCTAGATGGGGGCAGAGAATAAATCCATAGATACAGAAATCAGGAAGGTGCTGGCTGGAACAGAGCTGGGAGAGGGCTTGACGCAGTTGGTCCGCCTGATGCGCTTGGTGGTCTGTCCAGACTGCGAGATAGATTCAGGCTTCCTTCCCTCTGCAGCAAGAGCCCAGAAGTGACTAGCCACAGCTGGGTTCAGCGGTACCAAGATGGCTGGGAGGAGAGGGACGGAGACTAGCAGGGGTAACTGGGACGCCTAGGCAGGAGATGCAGGACAGGAGAGAGGCGCTGCTGATTGGATAGGGGATCCCAGCGAGAGGGAGGAGCCAGGCTTGACAGATGGCCAATTGAGAAGCACTGCTAGTTGGGTCGGCCCAGAGGGGCGGAGGTGGGGGCAAGATGTGGGGGAGTGACTTCAGTGTTTCTCTCCAAGGAGCTCAAATGGAACCCCCAAGGGAACCTGGGTGGGGGGAATTGCAGCTTCCTGTCCCCTTTCACAAGGGTGAAGGGATTTGAAATCTTTACCAGGGATCAAAGCTGGTACCAGCACTGCCAACACAGTGGTCCGGAAGACGGTAATTAGTACCTTCCCTACTTCATTAGCCTATGGAGAGTCAGTCCAGCCGGATTTCTTCCCTGGCTCCAAGTCCCACACCTTGCTCCCGGTAAAATACAATCTACCCAGGTTCAAATCCCGGCTGGGTCATTTCCTACCTGTAATCTGGAGCAAGTCACATAAACTCTCAGAAGCCCAGTTTTTCTATGTGTAAAATGGGAAATAATGATCATGCTCGCCACACTCTCTGGTTGCAGTGAGCATTATACGAGTCAGTGTGCGCGTGCACACACACACACACACACACACACACACACACACGGAATCTTCAAAAAGTTCACGGAACGTGCATGTTACAAGGAAACTGCATGGATTTAATTTTGGGGTTTTCTTTGGCAGCAAAATGAACTCATGGATTTTTTTAAAAAGCATTAATTTACTCATTTACGTATCTATTTATTTGTTGTGGTTGTCAAGCTGAAGAGTCTGGGATTTGAACCTCAGTCAGCCATGTTGGAATCCACCACTTTAACCACTCCACCACCTGTTGGCCTCATAGTTTATTATTATTATTACTATTATTTTTAAGTTTATGGGACCAGGAAGATGGCTTGGAGGAGGTTAAGGCAGCTGGATTCCATATGGCTGACTGCATGGTTTAAATCTTGGACCAGGCAGTTTAAAAAAACATTCTTGGCACGTGTACTTATGTGCCCAAAACCCTAAGAGGAGAATGGCAAAGAAGGGGCTGTGACATGGCCGTTCCCCTGGGGGTTGCTTTCTACTTTCTCTTTCCGCCTCTGTCTCTAGTGAGTGCACATGCCCTATAGCAAACAAACTAAAATGATTTCTTTCATGAGAGAAAGGCAGCACCCCCAACAGGGTCTTCACACCACAGTGTTCCCCCAGCCTCAGAGCACGGGCAGTGTGTGCCTGGCATACTCAGGGAAGTCTCTGGTTGGGAACCTGGAACCTCTTCCCGATGCGGGTCAGCTTCACGGGCCACGTCTGACCACAGCACGACAGCCTGGCCCCTCAGTTTCTACTTCCATTCCATTTTCCCACAAGTCGCGTTGTGTAGAGCTTGGAACAGCGCTGGCATTGAGTGAGACCTAAAGGGATGCCAGCTGCTATTACTGAGAATGAGTGGCCGGCTCGTGGCTGGGCCGATGGGTTCCTCATTCAGTCGTTCATTGAGCGGAAACTACTGGCAGCCTAGTGTGTGACAGAGACACAGCAGTGAACAGATGACCCCTGCCTTCACAGCTTACTCCGTGGCCAGTGCCTCCACAAGCAGCGTTGGGCAGGCCTCACAGCCTCCCTGGACGTTGGCTACTTCGGCTCCGTAATGAGGAGCCTTCTGTTGTCCTCTGACCTGACCGGCATGGAGGTCTAGGGCAGAGACTTCCAAAGCTGTCCCACTGTGACACTCGCTGTCTTCTCCAAGAAGGAAGCTCCCATGGCTGGAAATAAGCAAAAGCTCACCATCCTTGAAGGTCCTTGGGCCAGCCAGGGAAGTGGTGGTTAAGGCAGCTGGATCCCTCATGGCTGACTGTGCAGTTCGAGTCTCGGATCTGGCGGCTTGAAAAGCATGTTCAGTGCATGTGTGTTTGTGCCCCAAATCCTGAGAGGTGAACGGGACAGAAGGGATTTGGCTGTCCCCATGGGCGGTGATTTCTCACTTTCTCTCCGGTGAGCGTGTGCACCCTATAACGAACTTTAAAAGAGTAAGTCCTATGTTAAGAAGACCGTGCCTTTATTATTCCGTGACCAAAGTGACAAAAACAGAAAGAAACAGATGGAGAGCTTCTGAAAAGGTCTCAAGTTCAAGATAGTAACAGTGTGACCACAAGGTGGCACCACGACCTTGGCCCATCTGAAAATTTTTAATCAGAGCCAAATACAGATCATGCTTTAACAAGCAGCCATGAATCTATCACCCAGAATGAAAAATGTCGAAATTATTGTCCTGTTTTCTTTACAGTTTTTCAAAAGACAAAGGATATCAAATTACAGAAAGAGCTAAAACAGAGGGACTAATATTCTGTGCCATTATGTATATATACATATATATTATATATATATATATATTTAATTTGGCAGAGGGCATGTGCACTTGCTAGAGAGAGACAAAGGGAGAAAGAGAGGGAGGGGGATAAGGTACCCCGCCCCCAGGACTGATGCTCACCCTGCAGCTCTTCCCCTCCATTTCTCCCTCCTGTAGAGATTTCGGGCATGCATGCAAATGAGCCCAGAATGTTTTTCTTTCTTTCTTTTTTTTTTTTTTTTAAGAGAGGGATTTTTGCTCTAGGGCACATGTGCTCATCAGAGACAGAGACAGAGACAGAAAGCGAGAAATGATCCCCCCCAGGGGGATGGCCATGCCACAATCTCTTCTCCTCCGCTCTCCTCTCAGGATTTTGGGCACACATGTGCGTGAACCTGGCTTGAGTTTCAAGCCCATTGGAAGCCACTGGGCCCAGGACTCGAACTGGGGTTGACTAAGTGGGAGTCCCGTGATGGAACCATCACACTACTTGCTGGTCTTGCCCAGCATGTTTTTCAAGCTACCAGGTCTGAGATTCAAACCACCTGGTTGGCCGTGAGGGATCCAGCCACCTTCACCACACCACTGGCTGTCTCCATACCAATTTTTTTAAAAAAAATTTATTTGGGCCCACCAGGTGGCATAATGCTTAAGGTGGTGGACTTCTACATGGCTGACCATATTTCCAGTCCCAGACATGGAAAACCATGCTGGGCGTGTGTGCATGCATGCCCAAGGTCCCAGGAGTAGAATGAAGGAGAAGGGACTGTGGTGTGGCCATCCTCCCTGGAGTGTGATTTTTCACTTTACTTCTCTCTCTCTCCCACAAGTGTACTGCCTATGGCAAAAACAAACAAACAAACAAACAAAAACCAAAAAACAAATCTTAAAAAAGGTTTTTATTCCTTCCATGAGTGTGAGGCAGATGCGGGGGCTGGGGGCAGAGAGACATAAAGCACCCCTAGCAAAGTCCTGACACTGCGATCCACACCCAGCTTCAGCCAGCCTCGATCCAGATCCATCCACCCATGCCTGGAGTACTCAGAGAGCTCTCTGGACACTGAACCTGGCCACCCGCATGTGGGTGTGCCCTGCAGAGTGACGCGTTTTACTACTGCAACACGGTCAGGCCCCCACATACTAATTTTTACAGAGTGAAAATCGATCAGTCCCCTTCTCTGTATGAACGCTTTAAATGCTCATCCCATTCACATTTTTTTTTTTTGCTACAGCATTTGCACTCGCTAGAAAGACAGAGACAGAGAGATAGAAAGGGAGAAATCACTCCCCACCAGAGGGATGGCCACAGCGCAATTCCTACTCCTCCATTCTCCTCTCGGGATCTTGGGCACACATGCACACGCACCTGGCGTAAGTTTAAGCCACCGGGTCCAGGACTTGAACCACTGTCGACTACATGGTAGTTCAGCGACATAGCCATTATGCCAACTGCTGGTCCCACATC